TCAGTGGATAAAAATGCCAAGTTCAGTCTAAACATCTGACTATGAGATCAACCATAATAATAATATATATCATGTGAGAATAACTTTGATATTGAAAAACTATAATGTCTGCCCATCCCAAGTCCTTGGGAAGGACTTAAGAGGTGGACAAAATATGTGCCAAATCGTCTAAATATCGGGCTGTGTGGCTAACACCAAAAATATTTCTTGGTATGTAAGTACAACTTCTAATAAACTCTGCTATCCCTTGCAAATATCCTAGCAATCTCTGGTTACTGCAATTAATTAGATTATAAAGGAAAGTGTTTCTTAATTACATCTGTATTTTTGGGTGGCCTCTCAGGGATGTGTGCTAAATCCTTCTCTTGATTACCTTCAGTGTCAGTTTGATTTTCAGTGCTGCCTCTCCACTGGGATGGTACATTTAATATACTGTATATCTTAATTATTGCATCTATTTTATTATCTGGATTTTAATTTATTTTTATTGGGTTAGTAAAATTGGGTCAGTAAGTAAATAGCTTTTGCTTTTGCATGCACAATGAACCTAGCCTTGTAAATCATGGTTTATGACTTGGCTTGTGTGAGTTGATTAGTTCTTTCAATATGGTTAAGGAAATAGGGATTAGTGTCCTGGAAATATGTTGAGGCCCAAGGCTGCATTTGATCTTAAAGCTATTTTCTGTTTTCCCCCCTAGTTGTAGAGAAATTAGATATGGAGCAGAAGCTGGGTTAAGTGAAAGAGTGGGATGAAGTGATTGGCAGATTTAAAAAATGCCTACTTTTAGTTAAAAGTTTGCTTTGATGTAAGAGAAAGTTGGATTTAGAGAGCACTTCTCTTTTGAGGTTTATTTACATCTTCTGATTTATGGGGCAAGTTATAAGACTTGATCTTCAAATGCTGAGATTGGTTATTTGCTAAATGGGGTGTTTTGTGACCAACCTCGTCCTTTACAACAGCTATTTTGTGACCTGCTTGCTCCAATGGATGGCACCGCACAACCGTTAGTAATTCCAAAAGGAACCGCACGCTACCAAAGGCTTGAGAATCCTGCAATAATGACAGAGAAAATCCCAGAATACGAATCTCGGAATTCGAGTACACGTCATAAAGCTACATGCTGTATACACGTTGGAAGCCTCCAGTTTATTGTCCCCTAGCGGCGTTGGAAACGCGTCCGTTGCGCGTGGGCTGACTGGCAGGCCCTCTCACAAAACGTGGCCACATAGGTTGCGTATGTTATTCGGAGCATGTACAGGTGTGGACAGTTTTGTTCTTAGCGACGATCTCGTTGCCAGTCTTTGCTCCCGACTTTCTCGATCCCTGCCTGGTTATCACAGTAGGACTTCTCGTGGGGGGTGGGAAAAATAGACGTCGTAATTTCTGCGCTCTCTCCTCGTTGTCGGGTTGTGTGAAAAGCCACTAGCAGAACGGGTGTTCCCAGCGCCAAGCGCAACACACCGGTTGCGAGGGCAACTACTAGGACTGAAAGAAGCCGAACGGGATACTTTGGAGAGGCGGAAGAAGCTCGGATCCCGGACAATTTTGTTTCTGTTGCTAGGCGCTGCGCCGGCTGAGTGAGTTTGCCGCCGAGGTTTGTTGGTTGTGGACGGGCTCCCCTCTCCCCGGCCCAAGTAAATCCTATGCGTGGCCCTGGAAATTATTTTGTTGCGGTGCAAGAGTTGCTGACTTACTACTTGGATTTGTTGAGTTGATCAATAGTTAGGCCGTATAACTCTGCTGGAGGATTGCATTTATTCTTTTGAACCGGCTGCACCTCTCTGGTTGTCCGATACAACAGGTAGTAACACTGAGCGATCTCCACTGGGTTCGGAAGCTAAGCAAAATCAACTCCGGGGCGTCCTTTGATGAAATAGAGCTGTGGCAAGAGAAGAAGGCAATGGCAAACGACCTGTGTTCCTTTGCCAAGAAAACTGGTTTTGTAGTCCCTACACGGACAAACTCCTCTCGAGGGCATCTTTTCCTTTCATCCTCCCTATTTGGATGGAGGGTGTCGTGTTTGGTGTGCCTAGAACATAGAAGAAGGGACCTTGGAGGTCTTCTAGTCCGACCCTCTGCTCAAGCAGGAGACCCTGTACCGTCTCAATCTGCCCAGCCGATGGGACTTTCGGGAAACACTCAAGTTTCCACTGGCCCCAGGCCTGGAACAGTACTGAAGGGAGTTCTGTTTACATGGTCAACCTTTTTTTCTTTAAATTGCCTCTCAAGCCTGCATAAAAATTGCAGCCTGAATTGGGTTCATAGCTAATTGTCACATTCTCATTTTTTGAAAATTATGTTTTAAGTCTGGAAGTTTTACCTTTGCCAAACAGATCCATTGTCTCTGGATGTAACCATATTCATGCTGTCATATGCTTTACCTTACAAATGCTGTACCACTCACTGATTTCTATTTATATTCCACAATCACAGCCAAACATTTTTGTTTTTATGTAATTGGGGAAAAAAGCTTTGTTTTGTTATAATTCTGATCCCCCCCCCTAGGTTTTAGCTGCATAAACTAGAGACTATAGAGATCTTAATATTGCATATTAGCTGCTGTACCAAACAAAAGAATGAGAATCCTTTAATATTATTTTATGAAAAACATTTCAAATAATATTCTGAAGCAGCTTAAAATATTTAAAAACCTAATTAAAAACTGTTAAAACAATTGAAACATAAACATTAAAAGCAATTAGGCACAAATAGTACTAATCTCTGCCATTCAAATAGGGAGGATATTTCATTGCTGGAAATCTTCTCATGACTACACCATCTGTGTATCCTGAAGAAACAAATCTGTTTAATTAATGTGGTAGAAATGTCCTTTGGTCCGATGTTTTAGTAAAATGATGTAATTAAACCTGATGCAACATTTTCTCATTTTTATATCTGGACTGTTCAGAGACCTCTACTTTTAGTTAAAAATAACAAATTTTGGGAAGTCTCTTGTAGGCTGCACAATGCATTGCTATCTTGAAAACTTTAGCAAGCATGTAGGTTGAGAAGGTGAAGTCTAATTAGACATTCTGATCCAACTGATTAGAAAGACATGCTTTTAAATTACTGTAATATTCTAAAGGGTACGTAATTAAATCCAATTTACCTTGTTTATGTATGATTTATACTTACCAAGATTACCCTAGGGGACTATTTGGTTCCATCTAGAAGAGTTTCATATTTGATTTTATGTCCTTTTCCAAACTTGGAGGACTTTCCTTTAAGCAAAGAAAAGATTGGTCTTTACATTGTCTAATCTTTATAAATATAAGCCTTAGATAATAAGATAAACAGTTTGATGTATCCTGGCAAAAGTATTCATAATAAGTTATAGTACCATGTTAGTAAAGTGGCTACTGATTCCAAAATTACTGCTTACAAATTGATTTGTTTTTTTTTAAGTAGGTAGGAAGAACTTTTCTGTGGACTAAACCAGCATAATACTGAACTGCAGCTTGAAATCATATTTACAACACAATAAAACAGCCTTTCAAAAATTTCTCTTCACTCATAATATGTACATATTTTTGCCGTATTCATTTCTCTACGTAACCGGATAGCATAAACTATAGGAAAAATTGAGAATAATGGGAAATTGTGCATGTAGATTTATAGAGCAGCCAGGAAAAGGAAACGTGTGTGCTGCTGCTCATTTAAATTAATGAGACTGTTTGCTAATGGGTCATTGATTTCAAAGTTAATCTCATTTATCTTTCTCTGCATTTTATCCATTATTCCCATAGCTTTCTAGTTTGATTCACTGTAGTGTAGTTTGGATGACAGCTCGGCTTTTTATCATATTAAAATATACTTTTCTTCCTTGAACACACAATTGAAATCCAAGTTCGTGTTTGTAGCAGTGTGACATATGTGCATCTGCTTGTTCTCCTTGCCTTAAGAAATTATTTGAAATGAAAAGTTTCATTTCCTAATCCCTGGATAGGATTTATGTGGTTAAACCTTTATTTTTAATCTTCTACCCAGTCATCGTCTTGAATACTGAATGTAACAATATATGGCAGCTTTCTGCCTCTGTGGTTCCTGATACATCAGGAATGATTGAATGGAAATTTGCTCGTTTACGTGCATTGCTATTGTTGGTTTGGTTTGATTGATTATAGGTGTCAGTTCATCATAAGTCCCTTTGTCCCTTGTCTTTGCACCTTTTGGCCACCTTGCTTGGTACTAATAGAAAACTTGCCATGCAAAACATATGTCAAGATTGGCACTCCTACATGTGGCATTAAGAAAGAATCGCTTATAGTTACTCCAGGTTGCCAACTAAGCTAAATGTATGCATTACATCTTCTTCCAGCATTAGGCTCTGGCTCAAATTGGTTTTAGGTAGTCTCTCTATTGTAGCTCAGCAAGGTTGCCTCATGATGTTTTTTTATGCCAGAAATGGAGTACCTGCAACTTTGCAGACTTAATGTTGAATGAGTCTGCTCTTCTTTCTACCTTCTGTGGTAAGAGCAGCCAGACTTAACTTAAAGTGTCCATAGGTAAGGCTGTTTCCACTGGCTGAATGTCTTCTAATAAATTTGGCTATAAGCCTGAGAAGGAATTTACAAAGAAATGATTAATTTTTACCTGATTTGTGTGATGTAACGGCCTATGATGCAAACCACCAATGAGTGCTTTGCAACCAGAGGAAAAGCCGCTTTGCTATTTTAAAATTATGCTTGTATTATATATGCGTGAACACCTTCATCTTGTTCAAGGATGATTCAGGCCCGAAATAAACAATTGTTCATATTCTGGTTTTGTTCCAATGAGTTTTGTGTTTGTTGGAAAGGGACATACAAAGAAGGTTTTTCCAACTTCTCTTTATGGAGAGTTTTAGTAGAGCATAGGTTGCTTACTTCATTTTTAAAGTAATTAATTTTAGAAAGAAAAGCACATATCAGAAGAAATTAGAATTATTAATAGTCGGGTTTCTGTCCCAGGATGGCAAGTAAACAGCTAGATCCTGAGGGAGAAAATGAGGAAGAAGAGGCACCTGAGGCAGATTTCAACTATACACAATATTCAGGCAGCAGCTATGTAACCCAAAGCCCAGAAATGTATGTTCGTGGTGGAGGCGGTGGTGGTCATCCCACTCCTGAAGATGAACATCTAGCATCCGTTCACTCATTGAGAAGCCAAGAACTTGATGTTCAGCATCTGGTTACCTGCACATTTTCGGTTTCGTTGGCTGTTCCACTTTTTCTTCCAAGTAGGTAAATGGCATTGTAAGTTCTTTTTCTTTTGAACATGTCACAGTCACAGGGGGTTTACAGAGTACTGCATAGGAGACTGAGCATAGAAAGGATCTTACATGTTTGTCATTGTATTTAAATAACACTATCCTATACCAAGTTCATGTTATAAATCCCATCCATTGCTTTTCTTTGGGATGTAAAGATGTGAAAATTGTATCGATTCTGTTTCAGCACATTTTAACTTCATGTAAAACACTGATATAGATGAGGGCGGTACAGTAGATATGGATAAATGCCACATGCTACATTGGCTTTTTCGTAATTCCTAATGTCTGGTATATTAAATATTAGTTTAAAAGTGGAAATAAGTGTCATCTATATCTATATTTATACCTAATGCAGCACATCCTAGGAATTCTATAGCTATTTCTGGAAAAAGTGGAATGACCGTTGAGCTGCCCGTTCAGCATCTAATATTGGTACAGATTGTTGTTTGGAAGGATGAATGGAGACTGGATGTTTGTTTAACATCTTTTGGTAATTTTATCTAGTATGTATGGATAAAGTTACAAACATTGAATTAAAGTTATGAGACAAATAATTATTATTTTATTTTCATTTTGGAATATAAGTTACACAGATTAATTCATATATTCAGCTAGGCCAAAGTAAATATGTTAAGATTATACTTTTGTATGTAAAATGCCAATCTTGGAGATTCTTAATAGACCAAAGCCATTGTAACAGCAACACTCACTTTCACTCTCCCTATTTCGTTTTCTATTTTATTTATTTATTGTCAGCAAATAAACCTGGGCAGACCTCTAAAGCAGACATACAGAGATCTGGATCTAAAGCAAAAGAAGGATATATTCCAAAAATGCATCGTTTTTATCATATGGAGTATTTTCTTCTACCAGATGATATTGAACCTCGAAAATTAGATTTGGTATTGTTTGGTCCAGTGGCTAAATTATTTCTGGATACAGAATCTAAGGTAAAAAAAAGATAAACTACCAGTATTTATTTATTTATTGCTATTACTTAAATAATCATAATACATTCCAGATGTTTGGAAGTACTGCATTGCAGTTTTATATTATATCGCCAATCTTGTTAAATATTGGAGAAATGAAATTCAGTAACTGGAAAGCTAAATTAGACCACTATGTTTTCTTACCTTTTGTGTTAGGTGTTCTACCAGATAATTAGGAAGAATATGATAAAGGAGATAGGATTAAAGCTTGACACAATGAGGTCTATATCAAAGAAAACTGGACATTAGAAAATCATTCTCAATACCAGAATGGAGTAAATTCAACAAATGTTGAACTTTTAGAATGAAGAAATTAAAGTAGATAACTTCCTAGGTTGGATAAATTTGTCAGAGGCTGCCTTAATCAGAAACCCATGCAGATTCTTCTTGTTTACATTCAAGAGAATTTGCTTTCAATTCGAAGCACCCACTTCCCACCTCACACAAGCACCTAAGGTAAAAATGGGCTTGTGAACCATTTAAGAACCCAGAGGGCAGAAAGTCGTGTTTTATCCTACCTAGATGATCTACTTAGCACAATGTCCTCTATAGAAAATCACCATGGGAGATTGGCTAAATTACTATAGGAAGAATGGGGCTTGCATCTGTAGATTTTTGGTAAGTTTTCAATAAGATGAGGATGCCCTTCTTTTGACCTGCTTCTGAGAGTGGGACAGGAATTCTTCAGATTCCAACAGAACAGACAGGATGATGGTTGGTGGCATTGTGGTTGGAAGGACATCTGTATGCCTTTTGGTATTTTACAGTGCTTTCCAAGGGATCCACCAGATAAAGTGCTGAAGACATGAATTATTCTTATCCTATCATTGTGACCCAGAACGCTGGGATACTCTTAATAGAGATGAGACAGGAACGACTATGGCATCTTCTGCAACCTCTCTACATTCTGCATCAGTCTCTAGAACCGCATTTAACATCTTGGCCCCAGGACAAATGAACATCACTAAAATGACTTGGAGCTTATTTCATATAGGTAGTCCTCGACTTACAATTGTGGAGTCTAAACTCAGCTAAAGATGTTACCTAGCTTGATAATGAAATGTTCGGAAACCAACTCACAAGCTCAGAGAACGAACCATCACCCTCAAACTGACCAATATTTTGAAGACGGATAAAAAAATCCCTGTGTTTTATTGCTGCTTCTACAATTCACATTATCACTCAGAGGAATAAATTCTATCTGCTTCTAGTGTTATGATGAAAAAAATAACATGTCTGTAGTGGTATCATAATGCAAATCCTATCCTTTCATAGATGTCCCAATATTAGATGGAAATACACAAGTCACACTTCATTATTTGCCCTTGAAAATGGTAGTGGCTATGGATAGTTTACTTTCAGAAGGCACACTGAACTAAGTGAGCCAAATACAAACTCTAGTTTCTTACTCGTGATTATGACTTTTGGTCTTAACTGTAACATTTATTGCAATCTACAATTACACGTCCTGAAAACCGTACCAGTAAATTGACTTAGTGTATTATGCACACATATTTGCAGTTGAGCTTGGATGACAAAATAGAAGGTTGTTGGCAAAGGAGAATTGTAAGTCGATACTATGTTTTGGTGATACATGTAGTTCCTGAAAATTTTAACAACTTGTTTGCCCAGTCAAAATTTTTTAGAATCAATGGTTCTAACTTAAAGTGCTATAAAATCACATAGCGCTATTTTAATACAATATTAGATTAGAATAGAATAGAATAGAATTCTTTATTGGCCAAGTGTGATTGGACACACAAGGAATTTGTCAGGTGCATATGTTCTCAGTGTACATAAAGAAAAATAAAATACAACATATTCATCAAGAATCATAAGATACAACACTTAGTGATAGTCATACATTACTAATAAGCAATCAAATTATACTAGGAAACAAATAAAATAATATAAATTTTGAAGATAAAAGCAACATGATTACAGTCATAAGTGGGAAGAGATAGATACTAGGAAGGAAAAGAATAATAATAGTAATACAGTCAGTAGATAATATGGGAATTAGTTGTTGAGCAGAGTGATGGCATTCAGGAAAAAACTGTCCTTGTGTCTAGTTGTCTTGGTTTGCAGTGCCTTATAGCGTTGTTCTAAGGGTAGAAGTTGAAACAATTTATGTCCAGGATGTGAGGGGTCTGAAGTTATTTTCACAACCCTCCTTTTGACTTGTGCAGTATACAGGTCCTCAATGGAAGGCAGGTTGGTAGCAATTGTTTTTTCTGCAGTTCTAATTATCCATTGAAGTCTGTGTCTGTCTTGTTTGGTTCCAGAGCATTTTAAATTTTAAAATTTAAATTGCAGAATATTTTAAATTTG